AGGGTTCTACGCACAGCTCAGTCATGTTACTTGGCATTAACAAATCATATATGAAGATTATTCATTTTCAATTTTTATCACTATTAACATAACATTCATAATTAACATTATTAACATATCCAGGTAAGAACGTTCTAACATTTATGGCATGCAGGATTTAGTATCTCTACTCCTTTATTTCCACCAGAGAAAGACTTGTCAGTAAGCCATTTGTTGGCCTAAATCTGATGTCACTCAAACCAGCAGATCTGTTTGATCTGTTTGATCTGTTTGATCAAACCAGCAGTGATCAAAGGGATCACAGTTGCACCATGATACTTTGAAAAACATTGTCTGTATGAACTGCAGGTTTTGTGTTGGAGATTGTCCATCACCTCTTTTATTCGATCTATTATTCATCACTGATCAGTTCCTACAATAAAAGCTTGCACAGAATTTTGGTTGAATTACTTTACTCAGTGTAATTAAATTAGTCTATTTATAGACTAACTAGCCTAAGCTCAGGGGGAACAGAGTTTCTCATAATGGAAACCAATTCCACATCAAATGGAGTTTGCTGCTAATCTGTACCTCTGTAGAGGCAGCATATCAGGTGAAGTTAGGGAAGCACATAACAGCATCCACTGAGCTAGATGCAACTTGAAATCAGTAGTTTTTTTAGTTGAAAAAGACTGGTAGTCCTGTGTTCAAACATAGAGCAGTGTTTTTAACCCTTTTTCAATTTCAAATCCCTGAAAATGTTGTGATTAAGAAATTAATCTCTGTAACAAATCTAACCTCCTGAGGATAAAGGTTTAGGCTTACTTTTTTAAAAAAAAAAAAATTTATCTTCCTTAGCATTTTCAAATTGAATCGCCTGCTCACTCCACTTGCCACAGTTTGTTTCACACTCCAGAGTGTGCAAGCTTGATTCATTCAGGTGAAACTAAACCATTAAATATGCTCCAGGAGCAGAATTTAGGCATTCTATTTACTAATGAGCAACCAATTTCCAGGACCAGACTGGAGCTAGCCATAAGTAAACACCAGGGAAATGTGAACAGCATGAGTTCTGAGCCTTCATAATCACCTGTTTCAGTGCCCAGACCAGCTCCTGTTATAGGCCACATTAGACAACTCCATTCAGAATACAAGGGGAAAGCAGCAACTTCCAGTGTAAAACAGAGTTATCTCTCCTGGAAGTCTCTGTAGTAGTCCAGAGACAGACTGATTTGGTTATCTGCAAGGTGACAAGTGGAAAAACTACTATCCCAGAAGAACTAGCACTGTCTGTGTGTCTCAGTGTATCTACAGCTTACACATGTATTTACCAAAAGCAAAAGAGCACGACGATACAATGATGTGCTTAGTTTTTAACTAAGATTCATTAGCCCAGAAGATTCTGGTTTCTCTGCACAGGACATACCTTTGCAACGACTGTCATCCGTTAGCTCATAACCAGTTCCACAGCTCGTGTCCCGCTGACAGCGAAAGGATCCCAATGTATTGACACAGGTTTGTCCAATCCCACAGCTGTGTGTCCCAGTGATACACTCATTGATATCTGGAATATGCAAAATGGTGAAAAGAAATAAAACAGAGTAAATAAGAAGCATGAAATCCCTGGGAAGAGATGAGGTCAAAGGCTAGCTGTGGGCACATCTCCAACCAGTACTCTGAGCATCAGAATACAAAGAAAGGTGTGGATTTGGCCTCACATGCCACAACACAGCTGCTCATCTCTGTTGTCTGGGCATGAGCCAGCAAACGCATCTTGACCCCACTGGTAACCCCCAACTACCCTCTGAGGGAAGAATCTATCCCTAATATCCAACCTAAACCTCCTCCGACACAGCTTCATGACATTTCATGCTTCATGTCTGTTTAATTCTTCTGGGAGATCCTTCCCCCTTGAATATTCCCATGCCACTCATGGAATCCAAAACTTTCATCCTTTCTATCAGTTGTGTCCTTTACAAGCTAAAGAATCTTAATCTATTTATTTCATCTGCCTTATCAATTACTATCTACTAGTACAAGAGAGAAGAGGTATTTTATTTTGGTTTTATTGACAACAATAAAATTCAAAATCTGCCTCTTCTCTACTCTAAATCCTCCACCTTATCTACTGATTCTTTCTCGATTCATCTTCCCACAATTCTCATTTCAACACTCCATTCAAACCAACTTTTATGATCTCACCTCTTTCCCCAGCAGGCATAAGCATATTCTGATCTCTTCTGTATGGATTTATTTTATCTATTCTTGCTGTTTTTAAGAAATAATGTTGGTAATCAAGGCAATGAGTTTATTTATTTTACCGTCACAGGTGATACCATCTGCTTGAAGCTGATACCCAACAAAGCAGGAGCAGACATAACTGGATCCTGTGTCTCTGCACTGCTGAGAGCAGGGACCACCACCTAATGGATATTTTAAAAAGTCTTATGTCATTAAGGGTTCTTCATAGGAACTGAAACAAACCATTAATTTACAGGATACCTGGTGATTTCTTTAGTAAAGCAGTTAACTAAACACACATATACAAAAGAAGGAAAGGGCTAAGCACTGAAAGAGAAGTTTGTAATCACTGAATTCTTTTAGCTCTAAAAATTAATACAAGAAGGGTTATTCTGACAGACAAAACAAGAGAATACTATAGGAAATTTACACAAAATTTGGCTCATCATTATGAAAACTTACTTTTTCTGATCTTGTTAAAAGGTAAATTAATATTAAAAATGTTTAGTATTCTCAAAATAGAGAAAAGGTTATATACTTCCAACTATTTGCTGTGAGAGTGTTGATATTCTTAGTACAAACAGAACCCGTCTCCTTCTGCTTTTCAGAATGGCTGGATGGGTATTAAACAAGAGGTTTGAGATAGGCACAATCCATGTGGGCAAATGCAGGTATAATACTTTATAAATACTTTATGAAATAATTTTTGCAAGTGCAACAATTTCTAATGAGGACAGGGCCATTGATACACTACAGAAAGTTAGGTGGAACCATAGTTTTGTGGTTGAGATCAACAATTTCTGCTTTCTGAACCTCTGCTAATACTGTGAGCTCCTGCCTGATACAGTGTGTTAGAACAACAGATTGAATTTCCTCGTATATCATGAAGGTACTCCAAAACAAACTGCTGGAGGTTCCACTGCCTAGGAAATTTGAGTTTCCCCTGCTGATGTTCAGATATTCACAAGTACTTCTGGCATGCCAAGTTTATCAGAAAATATACTGTAGACAGAAATCCTAATTTGCAATTACCCATACCAATCCATCTCTTGCAGGCAGCTGATTAACTGACAAATACAACAACTGATTTCATGAAGAAATAATGCTGGGAAAATATGTAACACATTTTTCTATGTCAGCTCTTGTAATTAGCAGCTGGAGACAAGGAAGAGAGGCAGTGCTGGCTCTGGTTTGCTAATGACCTAGTAGACATTTCCATTCTCTCCAGAGTGTAATAGCTGTAGAACATGGAGCACAGTAAATCATCTCTCGACTGGAATACAAGTCTATTAAATTTATTTTATCCTAAATACATTACTTTGTTCTGAAATGCTGGCAGAAAATAATGAATCGCTGCTGGTTTAAGTCTATAAACATGTAAATCACATGTGACAAGCAATAAATCAGAATGCTTAGCAGAACAATATCCCAATAACACATTCTTCCCAGGAGAACAGCATGACTAATGAGGACAATAGCCACTTTTCTTCCTTTTTTTCAGGTGATGCATCTCAAAAGGAAACACATTTCATTTCATATTCAAACATCCTGATCATCCCAAGAGGAGAATAAAAGAAAGCACATATTTAACGTAAGACCCCCGTGTTCTGAGGAATCCAGAGTACTCCATGGGTTCAAGGGTGACACCTCTGAGGTATTACCCTCTCCAGGTTCGATAAAAATTAAATGTATAGTCTAAATTTCATTTGGGTAAGATGAACTCCACTCTGGGAGACAATGCCTCTCTTGTATTTAGGAACTACTGAAGCATCACATAATGGCCCACTACTCCTTAGAAAGGTTCTTCATTCTCTTGTTTTTACCCATAACTAGCCTAGGCAAAAGATTTTGTCTAATCTCTAGATCTAAGTTGGCTTCATTTTTATTGAAGGTAATAACAAAAGAGCTGGCTAACAGGACTAGTCACCTGACTTACCTCTGCAGCCATCATGCAGATAAGGATCTTCTTGGTCTAGTTCCTCCTTTGAAATTTCAACTAAAAAGAGGAAAGATAGGCATTAGAGGAGAAAGCATTTTTCTTCTCCAGGTAAAAAGCTGCATGCTTGGGATGGGACTCAGACCAGGGGTTTGAATAAACCAGGACAAAATTAAAAAGCATTATTTACATATTTTACAGTTATTTCATACTTGAATTTGACATTCAAATACACATGGCCATGGGGCATTTTCCATCTGACTGATTCAATATGAAAGTCATGCTGTGATCATAGATTACATATGGACTGAGATTTTAAAATGCAGGTTCGTAACGTTAGGCTTTTAACCAGAGCTTAACCTCATTTTCATAAGACATGTTGTTGAGGCATGCTTGGCTCCCACTGACTTTATAGTAGCTTGGGGTACTCACAGATTTAATGAAAATCAGATTAACCTCAGTTATTTATTTAGACTTTATTCCAAAAGAACTCCACACCCAACTTTTGGGCACCTACTTATGGCATTCTTTCAAATATACTTCATATACCTGAACTTTGAGAGTTTGATCAGCAGTACTTCTGCCATGTGCATGTGTCCTGAGAGCTCATTCTCTCCACATGGAGGGCACAAAAAGGCCAAATACATCCAATGCCTGAACCCACTGCTAGTCCAAAGGACTAGCTAATGGACTTTCTCCAACCCTGCCACTCTGAACACAGGGGAAATGGTAGGGTGGTAGTGAGATGTGCAAAAACACAACCCCAAAACACTCTGCTTTACTGACTAGGAAGCTCAGGCTCATTTGAGTGGTTGTGCATAGCCCACTCCATCAGCAGTCACTTAGAAGCAAATAACACATCATGGATGTGAATGCAAGGGTTTATGCTGTGGCACAAGGCTGGGTTGGTACACTGAACCCTCAAGCCACAGGGACACATTTTGGTCACTCAGAGGCTAATGAAATCAGTTTGCCCAAGTCTGGCTGGATTTTTTCGAGGTCTCTGGGGACACAGCACCAGAGATGATGCTTTATGTGATTAGGAGAGTGGCACACAGGGAGTCAGCTTGCCTTACCCTCTGCAGAATGCCCTGCAAGCCTTGCTATTGCATAACAACCACAAGGTGCTAGTCCAAAAAGCTGCTTTATAAACTGGAGCCTCATCTCCCCTTCATGACTAACAAAGTGTCTATTCATGGTGCTTTCTCTGCCTATCTACAGGCAATTTTTATTATCAATAGCATTACTTGACCTGTGTTCAAGCACCTGATTGCTTCTTAGTTTAATGATGAGAACATTGTCTTGTGGACACAGACCCATCTCTGCAATGCGTAACGACTATCACGTGTGCCATAATAACCATACTAACTAATGGTTCTTATCCATGCCCACAAGGGTAAGCAGAGGAATACTCTATGCCATGCTCACAGTTCTGGATTTTCAGGTGTTGACATATTTCTCATGCCATCCAGGTACGGTGACTATATACATTTTTGTTATTAGCAGAATGGTCTAAGTACAAGTACCAGTCCAGTTACTTCAGTCAGTAGTAATGGATGGGGAATTCCCCAGCTGCAACAACAGCACACAAAGAAACTGGCAGGGCACTCCTAGAGGTTACCTGATAGGGGTGTACACTCACACAAGCTGGGTTTGAAAGACCTGAAACAAGTCTGATAATACGCTGGCTCACACAGACCAGCGCGAGCTTTTGCGATGGGTTTGGGTTTGGGTTTCAGTGATCAATTAGGAGAATATCTCCCAAAATCTGTCACTGGAAATCTGCAAGCCAAACTGCATGTTTTCAGTGCTCAGTAGCCCGTGAAGGAGGCAACACTACACAGCATGACTTGTGTGCAGTTTCAGGTCTGTCTGCTAAGCGAAAAAGGCCAAAACCCCTCCCAAATCGAGGTCTGTAAGGATCAGTATGCCAACATTCATTATCTTCAGCTCTGTGGACCAGGGATGGAGAAGGGTCTTAGGAGTTGCACCCATCTAGATGCCCCTCTCACTTGATAATGTCAGAAGAAATGCAGATATCATGTTTCCTGGAAATGTTCAGTTGTCCCAGACAGTCCAGGCATGCCAAACACCCCCAGTTTGTGAGCATTTGCCTCTCACACAAAGGCAACATTTGACTTCTGCCAAGCTGGCAGAGCCCACCTAGCTTTTCAATTCAATCCAAAGAATCAGATGTTGATTTTCACTTTAATTATGCATTTATCAGTGGGCAAAATGCTATGAAAAATTAATAACTTACACTCAGCTTCCAAGATAAAATCATTAGTTGCCAAAATAAGCTGTCTTACATTTAAGTTCTGACACCAGGAAATAAGGGACCTCTTTCCAGCTGTTTTATCCTCCTGTTTTCAACAACAACATTTTGACTATCACTAGCCAAAAAAATGCACTCCAGAACATGCATCATTGAATTACTCAGAGGAGATGTCAAGTTAGAGGAATTCCAACAGAAATAATTTAAAGTACAAACACTCCTTGTACCCCATACCATTTTGTGTCTCACTCTTCTAAAGTCTGCAACAAAATACCTTGGTCTTTTTTAGGAGCAGCATCACTGATGGACAGATCTTCTTGACCTTTGCCACAGCAAGATCTGAAGACAATTCCACACTGGTATCCTATCTTCGGGTTGGGTTCACAACTCTGTCCTTGAACTTGGGCAGCCTTTCCCAGCAAACAACAGTAACAACACGTCTATTAAAAAAATAAAATTAAAAAGGTCAAATCCTAGCCCTGAACAAAGCAATGCAAACTTTGCCAGTGTCAATAGTTATCTCACCTTTGCAAATTGATGGAAAATTTTCTGCAAACTCTTCAAGAACTCCTGGTATACTTGGGCACAGACTTCTTAACCTGTCGTGGAGTTCTGTGAGCTCTGCATCTGGCCTACACAGACCCAGGCACAGAACATGGATCTAGATCTCACAAACATCATGTATGTGTGAAGATGTGTGCAAGTTAATGTGGAGGACCACAATGGTCCACATACAAAATGAATCATAGAATGTTAAGGGTTGGAAGGGACCTTAAAGAAAATATAGTTCCAAACCCCTACCATAGGCAGGGACACCTTCCACTAGACCAGGTTGCTTCAAGCCCCATACAATGTGGCCTTGAACACTGCCAGGGTTGGGGCATCCATGGCTTCTCTGGGCAACTTGTGCCAGTGTCTCACCACCTTCACAGGGAAGAATTTCTTCCTAATATCTAATCTAAATTTACACTCT